TCCTCCAGAGCCGACTCATAGGGCCCCTCGCTGTCGGAGTCTGGCGGCAGCTCCAACGACTCCTGCTGGGCCACAACCCAGTCACACTATTGCAGCTGCAGGGCAAGATGTCCTTGACTCTCTGAGAAAGGAATGTTATTATGACTATATATCTCCCATACGCCATATAATCCCCCCTCCCATTTTCCCACAGCATTGAATGTGGCAGGCCTGGAGGCCCAATGTAAAAGATGACTTCCAGGCCTGATAGTGTTCACAGAAGGCCTTCCTTTAAGGGCCGCTAACATGTATCCTGTACATGTGGTAAGAGGGCAAGTCCTGAGAGAATTCTGGCCCATAACACACCTCCGGACTTTTAATAAAAGATGACCATTTAAAAGCTTCGCTACAATGGGCTGTAGGGAAGTTGTATATAGTATGAAACTACTTAATTCCTACAAGGTTACTTTTAAACAGGGAGCTATGATAAAGTTACAACTACCGTAGGATAAATTGAAACTAACATAAGCTAAAATACATTTGAACAAAATTAAGAAAGAACGCCAGTAGCCTATCCTCATGCAGGAAACACAAGGTATTTATGATCTCAAGTAACTCAGAAATGGTAGAGTTCTGAAGTTGTTCTAGATTGAGAATTGGATGAACAAGTTTTTCCTGGAAATAATATCTTTCGGAAACGGATTGGGTTCTTGTAACCCAAGGGTATCAAACTCGATTTCATTGAGGGCCGCATTAGGGTTGTGTTTGACCTCAGGGGGGTGGCGGGGTCAGTGCGGGCACGGCCAGCTCGACGTCCTTTGTGTTGGAGGCACCTGTGGTGGCCCAGGCGGGGCTGGAGGATCCATTCTCTCCAGCATCAAAAGAAAACACAAGGGGGAGCACCAAACCCTCGTCCTCCAGAGAAGCCTCTCCATCCCTCTCAGCCCACACGGAGGACCCCCCCAGATGGCGGCAAATTGTCCAGAGCCCTTGGCAGCAGAAGGCAAGCGCCCAGCACGGCCCTCCTGAGCTCCTTTTCACTGGCGGAGACACCGCGGACTGGTCCTTTGCTGTTTCCAGGGTAACCCCACGGGCCAGATCTAAGCACCCCAGTCCGCGGGCCTTGAGTTTGACACCCCTGTTGTAAACCCAACTTCGTAGCTTTTTAAAAACATGATTCAAAAACATGACATTATAACTTACATGATTTATTTAAACTTTAAGCTTCCTATCCAATAGAGGTTGACTTTTTTTTGTTCAACTTACTATACATTTTGCAGTTAGCCCTTGAATTAGGACAATTAAATTTGGGAGATTTTGTTGTAACTCATTGCAGGCATAAGTTGAGTTACCACATAACCAGACTCAATTCTATGATTGTTATGATGGTCATTAAGTGAACCACCTGTCGTTAAGCAAATCACATGGTAATAAATCTGGACCCAGCTTATTCAGTGGGTATTTTTTGATGTAGCAAAAGTCACAAACTGCTATTATGTGATTGTGGGATGCTGCAAGCCAGTTGCTAAAATGCCCAAAATGCAATTGTAACACGACTACGGGGTGGTATGGCAGTTGTAATTCATGGTCATAACTAACTGTTTTTGAGTATGTTGTAACTTTGAATTGCTGTTAAATTATTGGTCATAAGTTGAGGACTGCCTGATGAAAAGTTTGTTGTCAACAAATACAGCATTAAAAGTAGTAATTCAAGCAAACTTACACTTGGACCAAACAGAGATTTGGTGTTTTCTTCATATTGCCTGTCCAATTTCTTGTCCTGTTAAAAAAAGGGAGAAATCGTATCTTTACTTCTATAAACAAATCATTGTTTTACAACTAATCAGAACTCCTGGGTAGTTACGTCAATCACTAAGCAAGTTATTATAACTTTGGAAACAATTTCAAATTAACTAGCAAATATGCTTCTTCTTCCTGCTTTTTTAAAAAAAGGTGTTTTAAAATAATGATTTCTTTAAAAACCTCGAGTTCTGAAAAGGAAGCCAATTTTGAGGAATCAAAACATCCCCAAATTACTGGAGATGGGGGAGGAAGGAGGGAAATGAATAAACAGGGAATACTTTTACTGTGAAAAGATCTAAGTATCAAATGTGTAAATACTCAGCACTGATTTTCGTAATTAGGTACTCAATATTTTTTACTATAAATTTACTATAAACTTTGAAGACAATTAATTTTTTTAAAATGTCTACTGTTGACTGATCATAAAATCACACTTGAATTTAAGGCATCTATTTAAATTAAAACTTACCATACAGTGTACTAGAATACTGAGAGGAATCCAAAATACCAAGGAGAATACAAGAACAGATCCTACTATGTTGTCTGCTAAAAATTTCCCTGTTTAAAACAGAAAAGACATCAAATTCTAGCAACCTTAGAAATAACGAATATGGAAAACGGTGCCAAAACTAATACAACAGGTTAATTTTTTCTATGTCTTTTTACCAATGGATTAGTGCAATGTGAACAAAACAGGATCATATTACGTTAAAATAACTGAAGTGCCTTAAACATCAGGAAATAAATTATCAACCTTAAAGAGATTTTTCTATCAGTAAAGAATGGAAAATGGGAAGCTAGACATTTCTCCAGGCTATGCATTCAATACTGTCTTCTTATATGTCAATTTAATTCATTGAGAAGGATCAGCAAAACGTGGAAATGGAAACAAGCCATCTTTACCTTTGTTGGGTAAATAGTTACACAAATTATAAGCCTTTTTTTTTGCATAATATTTAAAAAGCTGTCCCTCTCTCCTTGGAAATACATGCAAACCCGTTCCTTCAATTTGCATAGCCCTGTATAGCAACAGGATTGATGCCAATTAGGAATCTATTATCGTAGCCAGAATTTCCATGATTGGATTATAAATCCAGAATTATTACGATTGGGTGGAGGAAAAACATTGTTTGTTTTATTAAAACCTTAGGTGCACTAGTTAAGACAAATATTTAAATCAGGTGTGTCGAAATCATGGCCCACATGAGCCACATGCAGCCCTGCACAGCTATTAGTGCGGCCCCACAAGATCGTAAACTTTTCACATCATGTGATTTTTAAAATTATTTATATACATTAATTATATTAATATATTTTATAGGCAGCTCAAGACAATTCCTCTTCAATCAACGCAGCCCAGGCAAACCAAAANTTTTGAAACCCACCACTGATGAGGACTCAGGTTGTTGGGGGCCAACACGCTGACTCTGTAAACTTCTTAGAGAGGGATGTAACGCACTACGAGGTGATATATAAGTTTCATGCTACTGCTATTTCTATTAATCACAAATCCTGGTCCAGTAAATTAATCACCATAACTCACTAAATTTATGTCTGAAACAGATGTTTGGATGATTCCTGGATGATAGAGAGCAGTCCTGAAATTTGCCTTACATGGCAAGAGATTTATTTCTCATACTGGAAGAGGAAACATGTCTAATAATTATGAAGGCCATAGAAAGGAAACATCAAATAACTAGACAGGAATCCCAGTCCCAGTGCTATGATATCACTGTGAATGATATCAAATATTGGAATGTCAGATATTCAAATAAAGACTACTGTTATTAGCAAAGTGCAAAACTGATCATTTCCTGGAATTGTAAGTTGGAGGATTGTCTGGGCTGACAATGTTGGCTAAACTGAAAAACTTCAAAAGCCTTCTGGAAGATGGCAATGGTAACATTGCCAAGATTAGGGCATGGAGTTGACCTCTTCAAATCAAGCTCAACCCAACTGTGATTTGACCCAATTACTGGTCAAAAATAGGGCAGTGAAATAGAACCTCTGGTGTCGACCATGAGCTTCTCCAATGCACAACTGTCTGTTGATGTGCTGATGTTTTCCAAGCCAATAACTGAATATAAATGTTTATGGAGAATAAAAATAGAGTTTAAATAAATCTTAATGCATCTGCTATTTTTAACTCAGCTTTCTCTTGCTCTGTTTCTCAGCTTCCAGTTCGAAATGCTTTTTTTTTTTCACTCTTCGCCTCCTCTTTTTCAAACTTACCATGGCTACTCTTTTTTTATTTTATTTCTTCATTTTCCACATCAAAGCTACGGTAGTCTATAGAAAGCAAATTAGGAATGCATTATTTTCCATGAAAAAAGTCTCAGTGTGACTTATAATTCTATTTTTTTTCCTAGCGTGTGGAATAACATAAATCAAAAGAAGCAATAGTCTACCTTGTGTTTTGACTACTTTGACCCTCTTCAACCCCTGCCAATTTTTATCTCATTTTTGTTTAACTTTGTACATCAGAGTTTAATTTTAAAGCTGGTCCAGAAGACAGTGATGTATAGGTTACATCAAGTATAGCTTAAATTACCCTCTCCCCAGTGATTTGAAGCGGGGGGGGGGGGTGTCACTCCTGCAATGGGATATCAGTGTGAAAAAGGAATGGACAAAACCTGCCCCCTGAACTGACCCATCCTTTGCTACAAAAATATTTTTTGCCAGGCTATCATTTATTGATATTTTTTGATGGAGGATAGATAGATAGATAGATGATAGATGATAGATGATAGATAGATAGATAGATAGATAGATAGATAGATAGATAGATAGATAGATAGATAGATANTGGCTAAACGAACGGTGGTTAGACATGATCAGAAAACCCACTTATTTTCTAGGAATTATTCCAGTGTCCTTTTGCAGCCAACTAAATCTATGGCCATTGTATGTGCTGAACTCTCTACGTGAATTGTAGGCAGTGTTCAAGTCCTTCTTTTTTGTCTCATTGACTTTTCCTGCCAGTCAATTCTGTTAAATGACCCCAAGGGCCAATTTGATGTAGTAGATCTGTTATGTGTCGTTCTGAAGTCAGCTTCTATCTCTGTTCATCAGTTTCCCATCCAGCCATACCCTCCAGATACTTTGTCCTTGTGCTTCCCTCTCATTTGATGTGGACAGATAACACCTTTGCATCCACATGGGAAGCAACTGAAAAGTTTACCTCTCGCACACAACACACAGAGCATAATTAGACCTCTGCACCTGCCTCATTTCTCCTGTGTCTTTGTTCATCGGTATACAGATCAAAAATCCAAACTGTAAGGACAAGTTGATCTTTTCAGTTTCTCCCACTCCTCATCTTCTTCCTTTTCCCACTCAATGCGCTAAAGCCACAAGAACAAACCATAGGATGAGTTGATCCTGGGAAACTGGAAGTAATTCATTGGGGATGCAGTACACCAAAGACTGTATCGAAACTTGTGTTCTTGTTCTGACCTAGGCTTCCTGAGAATGCATAAATCACAATCCTTGTCCCCAAAACCCTTTTTTATTTATATGACTGTGAATTATGGTCATTTCCAGTCTGCAAGGCTTCACAAACACTCTGTGAAGATTCTGACAGATGTCTGCCAACCTAGCAGTTGGAAAGCATATAAAAATGCAAGCAGAAAAATAGGAACCACCTTTGGTGGGAAGGTAACGGTGTTCCATGCACATTTGGCATTGAGTCATGCCGGCCACATGACCACGGAGATGTCTATGGACAGCGCTGGCTCTTTGGCTTTGAAATGGAGAGGAGCACTGCCTTCTAGAGTTGGAAACGACTAGCACATATGTGCGAGGGGAACCTTTACCATTACTTTTTACAGTTGTAATTATGTGTCTGCTTATTTGCTGCTTGTATGCAAGATATCATCTGCCCTGGCTGAATAGGTTATAATGGATCTTGTATCAGACTTTTCATTGTCAAGCATGTGAGCTAAGAAAAAAGTTCTTACTATGCAAAGTTATGTCTAAGGTGTTTTCTCTGCATCCTGGTACAATATTTGAAAGGAGGTCTAAAGGCGCCACTTTCATAAACATGGAGTGGAATGACAGATTTGCTTGAGAGAAATTCAGATTCAAAAAGCTCATTTAGCCATTAAAGTCAATGGCCCAGTTGAAATGCCACAGTATGTGCCTCTTCATTGATAGGTTTTAAGCTAGTCACAATGCCAAACATCACACCTATATGTTGAGTTCATTTTTAATGTATAGTTATACTTCTTCCTATATTTATGTCTGGATGCTCAAGGAGATTCATAGAAAGATCTCTCATTGTTGACCCATCATGTAACAATTTTAAGAGGTAATGCGGATTGAAAGACAGTTGACTAGGTTAAAGTCAACAAACGAATTTCCACAACTGGAGATGGACTTGAACTGGAGTCTCCCAATCCTGCTCCAATAACTTATGAGCCATGGTTAGAATGGTGCAGTGGTTAGAATGCAATATTGCAAGCTAATTCTGCCAACTGCCAGCAGTCCAATCATGACTGACTCAAGTTTGACTCACCCTTCCATCTTTCTGGGGTCAGTGAGGACCACAGGTGGGTTCCTACCAGTTCGCACCAGTTCGGTAGAACCGGTTCATCAAATCTTCCAAACCAGTTAGAAGA